CTTTACACCTCCGTTAAAAGGGCATTAAAAACGGAATCCCCGGAAATCCTCGTGCACTTGGTTGGATCATGGACCAACAAGGAAAAGCATTCTCTGATGTTTGGTCATACCCGCTGTGAGCCCTATGTATTAATCAGTTCCTAGTTAATCGAACATTTCGTAGTCAAATTTAGTATCAAATCAAAGGTCTTACAATTGATATAAAATTAGTTAGTTAAAATACATCCAATTTTTAGAATATATTGTGTAAATTATTGACAGAAAATTTGATTAAACAAGATTATCAACAGTCTCGTTTGAAGTTTATCAATTTGTATGTTCTGTGGTTCATACAATGACCTTGTCAGCAAATACGATATATCATTGAATCAAATGCTGACCGGCGTTTTACATTTTCATTGCTTGGTTCATTATTTACACACACACTGAATTAGCGACAAATTGTTCCCTTATTTCCAACGCATGACAAGGATCACACGGTGGGTGTGTCCAGTCAGCAGGTGATATTAACTCCTCCATGGCACCTGATCCCATCTCCTAAATTTTAAGATCCATCTTTGCTCGGCTCCTGATTTGTATTATTTGAATAGACTTTTGAGCTTGAATGCTGTTTGTTATCTCCATATTTAATCTGTAAAATAGGACATATAAACGACAATAGACTTTTCGAATTGATGATTGAAAAAAAAACCCATAACATCAACATTCCTGTAAGAAGCCTCCTTTTTCTTTGTAGTTTAATTCTTTTCTATCTTTATTGCTTTTACATAACTCAAAACTTTTAAAGCACAAAGAAATAGTTATAAAAGAATCGGTACCAGTTTATACATTACTAACAATTTTAAGTTTAATTACTTCTTTTTTTTTTATCATTTTCAGGGTCTTTTTCTACGATTTATATTGAAGAGGGTTCCGATGTCTGCATATCATTCTCACAGGCTGAAAAAATTGACACAGATAGAGAACTCAGAAGAGAAAATCGTGTACTATGTATCCAGTTCAATGGGTCAAAAGAAATAGGGTTTATATTCAATTCAATTTTAAGTGAACCATTTACCTGTACTACAAACGACTCCTTTGTTTCTGTTTGCATTGGAAATATAACAAAAGATAATGAAGGAGTTTACTCATATTACCTACTTTCAATGTTGCTGAAAAACAGAACATTGACATTAGCCAGTAAGTAGTAAAACTCATATCACCAACTGAGACTAATCTAATACATGTACATACAATCAGCATTATACAGTCAATAAAATACATTTAATTTAGTAGCAGGTGTAACAAAGCTTATTGCAATCTATACTTGATTTTCATAATTAAGAAGCTGATGGCGAAATACAAGTCTTTTTAATTTTAATTCATTTTATCATGTTAAAAGTTTGGTAAGGGGTTACAATATGTGAACAAAATGTGCTATGTGTCTTACGAGAATTTTTTTTTTTGGAAAAATTACAATTTAGTGTAATAATGAATTTTTACCAAGTTCATTTGCTTATGTCTAGGATACAGTGTTTTTGGTTGGCAATTTGAAAATTTCTTCTGGTTGCAAATTTACATTTTTCAAATTGGGATCTATTTTGTCTAAGCCCTTTTTTTTTATTGTTTTCTTGCCAGCAATGGACAATATTAATGACTTACATGATCATGTAGAAAGGAAAAGAGAGGTACAAAATGTACATTCGAATTATGAGCGTATTATCATCATACAAACAGTTTGTCTGCTAGCTGTTAATGAGGCAAATTTGAAGATGTAAGATACCTTCAAATTGTGACCAATTTATCCCCACCTGGGGTTTTGAACCTTTCGCTAAGGGATGATGATTTTACATTTTTGGAATAGGGATCCTTAATTTATTCTGTCAGAAATCCAAGGTTATGCGTTTTTTTTTCAATTCAAATCGCTTAAGCATTAAAGTAGATGTATAATACTACATTAAGTTATTAAAGGAGCATACTGCATTTTAGATAATTTTAAATTTCGAACGGACAGTTCTTGCATATACTGTAAAAGGTGAAGATACATGTAACTAAAGATAACGAAAAGTGATCGATCTTAAACACCTTTAAACAATATATGTGAAGAGAGCATAAAACACGCAATTATTTTTGTCAGTTTCCAAAAAAAAGGCTCAGATCCTCTTTTTTTAATTTAGATTTTTGAAACTTTTTAAACAGCCTCTCCGGTTGTACATCAAATGAGTCCTAAGTATATTGTGGAGGGAACAAATTTCACGCAGAAATGCCTTTACGATGCTGGAAAACCTCCTGAAACCAGACTGCATTGGACCAAGCAGGGCGACAACAATTTCAGACAGCAAGGAGATACATTGAGACTGACCAATGTTCATCGCTTTAGTTCCGGTACTTACATATGCACAGCAGAAAATCAGTTTTCGTCAGAAAACAAAGGACAGAACAGTCAGTCATTGATTGTCGATGTGCAATGTGAGTTTGAAATATATAATCAGAAGTATGTATCAGGAATCAATTTGAAATATTATCGGTATCAATTAGCCATCAATAGTCATGGATAATACTTTTGAATATCCCCTAACATTTTTTTTTTTGCTTTAAAACTTAACATTGCCATCAAGGACCTTTTGGGGGTTCCTTGTCGTCTTACTCTTACTATTAGCATACTAACATTTTTAAAAATTTTTGATAAGCGTTTTCCAGGTATCCCTTATTTTACAGATTGTCTCGTCTGATACAGAGTCTGTAATTTAATCGCAATTTGCAATGTACACACATCTGAAATGCTCGCTTTTGAAAAAAAAATGTGTGCTTCCTCTAGATTTTTAGAGTTTTGTCTGGAGTTTTCTAGAGAAACAACACAAAAATATATCATTAACTGATGATCCATGGTCTAACCCCTTGGCCTGACTTGGCCTCTAAGGTGGCACAGCCTCTATTTTGGCCTCTAATTAAGCTCCAACCCAATATTTGTACAGGACTCAATTTTGTCCTCTCTTAAAATTTTAGCTTCAATTTTGGCCCCAACCAATATTGATTTCTTTTCAAGCTAAATGGGCTGCATTTTTGAGAAATTAATTTTTCTGTTAAAATGTTCTTTAAAGGGGCATGTACACAATTTCAACTGAATGTTTAAAAACAATTTAAATGTGTAGACAATTCCTGCCTAAGGCATGATCAGTAAAAATTTGAGCATAATTTGCTGATTAACAAACAAGATACAGAGTATTAAGTTCTTAATAATGTAAACAAGACTCGTGCCCAGTTTTTTTTCTACATATAGAAAATATCATATAATAACAAAATGAAATTTAGCAAATAAATAGTAACTGTCGAATCATATTTAAAATGTTATCTTTTTTTGTAGTTATCTACTTTGAACGAACATATATTAGTATTTTAACCTGTGTAAACAAAAACATTTCATATACCTTGTTTACATAACAAAGGTGTAGAGCTCTAAATCTGTCTTGTATCTGGACAACTGACGTTCAAATTTTTGATGATCATTAGAAAGACCCTCGTAAAATATTTGTAAAAATGGGGAAAAAAAATAGATTTTGGAATATTGGCTGAAACTGTGTCCATGCCCCTTAAATGATAAACCTGATGAAATTCAATCTTTTATGGTCAATTAGATTAAAAATTAAGTGTCAAATGTTTTCCGAAGAAAGATGTCTGTACATTGGAATTGCAGTATAATATGAGAAATCAATATTGTACAGGACAACAATAATCAAATTTTGCTTCAAAGTGTTTAAATAGTTCTTCCAATACAAATATGAATAACAGATTTTTACAAACATCCTTTTTTGCTGTCAAAGAAATAGTTATGATTTTCCCACAAATATTTCGAATATCAAAGTTACAGCTCATAATGCTTACAGATTTAAACGATTTTATTGTTTTTTTTATTGGTGTTTTTTAAAGTTAGAAATCAGAGGCAAAACTAGACTCTTGGCTAACTTAGAGGCCATATCAGGCCTAAGGGCCAGGCCGGAATTTAAAGTATGTCGAGTTTCAGATTGTTTAAAACAATCACGTAAGGAGGATGAACAAAAAGTATGATTACTTAATTTCATTTTGCATGTTTTTAGATCCTCCAAAAGTGGTGCCTTTTATCAATCGGGATACCATAGAAGGAAGGAACCTTACCGTTCAATGTTCTTTCGCTGCTGGAAATCCTTCTCAAACCACCGTTTACTGGACTGATGGCTCTGGATTTAAACAGAATGGAAGCTTTTTACATTTATCATGGATCCAGAGAAACAGAGCTGGTACTTACATTTGTACAGCAGAAAACACCTTCAGTATAGGATCTACAGGAACAAGCAGTCAGTCTGTGAAAATCAATGTTCTGTGTAAGTTGTAAATCATATACAAATATTGCATAACAATGTTCTTTTTGCGCTTCATTTTCAAAAAGTAAGTACTAAATACAGTGCAATGGCAAAAAACACTGATATTAATTAAATCAGTAGATTATATACAATCAAACACATATCCGAGAAAGCGATTTTGGGATTTACCTTCTCGAGATTGAAAATGCATATGGAAGATCGCTCATGTATGTCGATGTTATTCCTTTAGGCGAGTATTCCATTTATTTTATACTTTTACATACAATTTTAACTATGACAGTTGATGGATGGTGAAAATATACATATACATGTAACCATATTTTATTCAGGAAACTTTTCAGTAATGCATGGATGCAAAAAGTCTTATGAGTTAATATTCCTATCAAATGAGAATGCTTGGGATTCTGAATGATTCTTTTTCTAAATCATCTGCATGCAAATTTGTCAAACATGCTATAGACATCTCTAATTAGAATATGTACAAATCTATTTTATTACCTCTTAATGTTTTAATATAATTGAGGTAATCTTATTTTGCTCATAGTTGTATTGACACTGAAAAGAAAACAAATCTATGATCATGATATCATAGTATAATTTATCCTTAAATTTTGCAAAAAAAAAATTCTTATATCTAAACTCATAGAAAAACCAGTCCCACCTGAGGTGAAGTCTGTCACCTGTGAGACGGAATCAGCCGAGGTAACATGGGAATCCTCATTCAACGGAGGAGCTCCTCAAACATTCACTGCCATTGCTATGAGGGATGATCAGCATGAAGCCAGTCGATCTGGTTCGATGTCAGACAAAGGGGAAAATGTCAAACATAGAGCAACTATAAACGGACTACAGCCATCTGTTGTGTATAGCTTTTATGTGGCTGCACTGAACAAACACGGGGAAACATTGTCAGCTGGTGACGTCAGTTGCAGAACCAGTGCACGTGGTAATTTGTTCATTGATTTCAGTTTGAGTTGATTAAATGTACTTGCAAATTTGGTTTTCTTTAGTCTAAAAGAAATTACAAATTCAAATGCTTTATATAACATATTTTTTAAACATAGCTAGTCTTTCATCACTGAACACGCTTGAAGGAAGTTTGCCAACTTATGCTTTCTCATTTACTCTTCAAGCAAAAATTTGTGCATATAGAACTTTCATCTGATTTTTGTCTGAGCAAAATTTGATTAGAAGATTCGATACAATTTTTACATGGGAAAAATTGCCGGCAATCGAGCAACATCAGTAAACAATGTGCAATGTCAACTGTATTATTGACGGGTGGAATGTTTCAATGAGCCTATGATGATTTCTATGGTCGATACAATGACCTTTACATCAAGGTCGAATGCTTACTGAAGTTTTCATACCAATTGTAAAACCATTTTTACACACTTAATTGTCAATTGATTTTTTTCCCGTTTGCTTAATCATGGCAAGGAGGATGCTCACTCCTGAATGGAACCCGATCCAATCTCTGATGTTGTTGAGAACTGTTTTCGCTGCTCTTTTTTGTATTGTTTGTGCATTAACGCTGTTCGTTATCTCCATATACATGTATATAGTGAACCAATTTAGAGGGAAGACTGTCGAATAAAAACACAGTTAACATCACTATTTTTTTTATATCCCGTGGAAAATGTATGTTTGTTCCCACAATTAGAAATACTCGCTAAATGGAGTAAAATTATGAAAATTGAGAAAACAGAATAAGCGAGAAAGCAAATTGTTAGAGCATCTACTGGAGATCTTTACAGTTTTTTGGACATTAGTATTGATACATGAAGATTAATATAATGATATTCTGCTGCACAGTTTGCATAACTAAAAAAAATCTAAATTAAATACTAGTACTAGTAAAATAAGCGAAGAAACAGGCAGTAAATGCATGCATGACAAAAATTATAAATGAATGCATTATATTTTTAGAAGACCAATTTTTTAAAATTTTTTTTTTAGAAAAAAGTGTTTTGATTGATATATTTTGGCAATAAAGATGCAGAAATATATCCATAAAGAACGCAAACCATTTGCTAAAGTAAACGTTCTTTTAAATTTGAAATACATAGGTTAAAGAATACACAGTTTGACACTACTTTATTGTGAAAATTGAAATTAATCCCTAACTTGAATAAAGCTACAACGATTTATACATATTTTCAAAATTCTTTATCTTGGAAAGAATATACACAAGTTTGATATCTTGGAATTCATAAATAACTGTAGATGTGATACCTATTTCAGCTGTGAATGCACCTGACCTTAAATTCCTAATTGGCGCTATAACTGGTGGAACAGTTGGTAGTATTTTCTTTGTAGCTGTTATTCTGTTCATATTCTTCCACAGGAAATTCAAAATGAAATGCACAGGTACGTCTGTATTGTTATCATTTTTATCGTTATAAATAATTTGTGAAAAAATTAATTTTTCACTGTGATTAATATTAAATTTCCAGATTTAAAATATGTTTCTTATTTTTAGATCGATATTCCAAATCAAGGTATGATCAGAAATTTTAATTTAAATAAAATTTCCCGTTTCTATGCAACTTTTCACGTCACATTCGGAAAAGGAGTAAGTCTTATTCATTTTTTATGTCAGAGCAAGGTTTCGATATCAACGTAAAACTATCATGTAATTATACCCGCACTTTCTAAAGAAAGTTCGGGTATATTGTTGTTACTCATGTCCGTCCGTCCGTCCGTCCGTCCGTCTGTCACACTTTTCTTCCCTGAACTCCTCCTACATTTTACACAGTAGCTTAATCATCTTTTAAGAGATGGTTGGTGGTGTCATGTAGATGTGCAGTAAGGTTTCGGAATTTTGATTTTGCCCCGGGGGGTCAAATGGGGGTCGAAAAATGACGTTTTTTGTGCAAAAAGTCCCGTCTTCCCTGAACTCCTTCTACATTTAACTCAGCAGCCAAATCACCTTTTGGGGGATGATTGGTGGTGTCATGTACATGTGCAGTAAGGTTTCGGAATTTTGATTTTGCCCCGGGGGATCAAATGGGGGTCGAAAAATGACGTTTTTTATGCAAAAAGCCCCATCTTCCCTGAACTTCTCTTACATTTTACTTAGCAGCCTAATCATCTTTTGTGGGATGATTAGTGGTGTCATGTAGATGTGCAA